ATTGTGAGAGATTTCTCACATAGTGTTCCTGCCAGGGAAGCTGGGGACCCTGCCCATGAGTCTCCATTTCATCCTCACAACAACCCTGTGGGGTAGGTTAGGTAGAGAAGGGGTGATTTGGCCCGGGGTCACTCAGCCAGCAGAGTGAGAATACAAACCTGGGTCTTCCCACATCAATCTGCAACCCTGACCACTGTGCAGTGCTGCCTCTACTGATCTGTAATGTTCCAGAGGTGTTGTAATGTAATACTCAGTTTCTCAAACGAGTGTATGCCTGTCTATTGGTCCACTTAGGAGTCTTGATCCTGGTTGTGTGGTGGGCTAGTTGTGGCAAATAGTAGGGAAGCTCAGTATTTCTGTATACAGTTGTAGGGACTTTATTGCAATGTGGTATGGGATGATATTATGTTCTTATTTCAGTGTGGGGTGTGTGTGGGGCTTTCTAAGCAGTGTGCTAAGAAGGCAACTGTTCCTGGGGTTAGCCCAGCCCAGGGACATTGCTAGGGCAGTTCCCAGGCCTCCCTAAATTTCTGGGGAGCCCATCCCTAAATCCCACATGGGTCCACCTCCATAGATAGTGACCATGGCCTGTGATGTTACTAGCTCCTCCCTATGATGTCATTGGGTCCCAGTTCTTTTAATGCCTTAGCAATGCCCCTGCCCCAGCCCCCCCCCCCCCAACTTGGAAAGTCTACGCCCTTGACTAAACTACACGATCCTCTCATGTTTACATCTAAAATTACGAACAAGGAAGCCAAAAAGCCGTCCAATGAAAGAGGGACAACCCCTCTTTCGGGACAATCTGTTTTGTCTCCTCACCCCATGCAATCCAAAGGGGAACCGCTGCATGGATTTCCGCCTTGCTGCGCCCCATTCCTTTCAGCCTTCCCGCGCCGTAATGCGTATTTGCTAAATAACGCCGGAAGGCAGGGGGCGCACGGAATTTTTTGCATTCCCTTTCTCAGCAGACCGGAAACTAGAGATGTGGGTTGGTCTGAGTGTGCGAGAGAGTGGCTCCTCGTGCTGGGTGGCTCCTCGGCTAGCCAATGGGGCGGGAAGGTGGATTAGCGCTCTCTCAATCGGCCAGGAGTGTAGAGGTGCCTTTGGGAGCGTGGGTTGCCGCACTGGGTTGCGCCTCTAGCCAGGAGGAGCGTCTCGTCGTGAGTCGGCTCCGCGGAGAGCAGCCGAGGCAGAGAGGCGCCCCGTCCCGGGGCTCATCGGATGGAAGCGCAGGACGTTCCAGGCGGGCTCCGGTCCCGGGTGTTGCTGCCTCGACGCCTAGGGCTGGCTCCTCACGGTTGTTGCTGGGCGCTACCTACCGCCGTGCTGTGCCTCTACGGCTTCTTCGCCAACTTGCGTCCTTCGGAGCCCTTTCTGACCCCTTACCTGTTGGGCCCGGACAAGAATCTCACCGAGACTCAGGTACGGCTGCCCCCCCCCCCCCCCCGCCCCCCGCGCCCTTTCACCCGAAGACTCCCGGCGTTTTGACCCGCTTTAAAATGGGTTCGGTGCTCAGTGGAAGGACTGAAGCCTTGAAAGCAGGCAGTTTCGAAAAAGCGAATGGGATAAAGGTAGCTGCTTTGGGGAGGGGGAGGATGGAAGTGTCATATTGATAGGACTCCCGAAAGTGTGACAAAATAGTGAGTAAACTCGGGAATTCCCTGAAAATCCTCATCGGACAATTTAATTTTAAAAAGCAGTGTTTTAGAAGTGTATGTTGGATGGTGGTGGTAGTGAGCAAACGGTGTTTCAGGACAGTCTCTAAAATGCAGTATTAAAATGGAGCATAAGAGGTGTTCCTTAACGGACCGAGCCACACGCAGTATGTAATTTAAAAGTGAAGAAGCAGCCATGGGTTGACTGCTGTACTGGAGTAGCGCTGGCTTAACTCACCCCCAGCCATGCCTTTACTTCTCTCCCACTTCCTTTCAGCTGCTTAAACCTGGCTGAGGAAAAAGACAGGCTTTATAGGGGTTCCAGTCTCCAGGTGGAACCTGCGGATCCCCTGGATTACAACTCATCTCCAGACTACAGAGGTCAAATGGTGGCTTTGGAGGGTGGACTCTAGGGGCCCCTGAGGTCCATGTCCTCCCTAGGCCAGTTCTACTGGAGGATCCCAACCCGTATCTGGCAACCCTGCTCCCCTAATCCCCTGCCGATGGCCAAGAAGACCTGGCATTGCCGTATAATAAGAGTGCCAGTATTTCTTTCTTGAGTGGGTGTAATAAGCAGCTTGGGAGAAGTCATTTATCTTGAGAAAATGGTATGTGTTGCTCAGCACTGTGACTTTGATTCTCTTGACTACTTTTTGAGCTGTACTCGCACACGGGGGAATTCAGTCATCCAAGTTTGAGGGCACAGCTTCTGGGAAGGCTCGGATCCCACTACTTCTTGATTGAGGCCTGAGATTTATCCTTACTCTGTGAATTACCACAAAAAGCTACTAAAAAGCACATGAGCCTCTTTTAAGTTGACAACTTGATTGGTAGCATGTTATTGCATTGTATTTTGGGATCTGTACTGTCTGATCTGAGTAATAGAATAAGGATATGAGCTGCCTCAGAAGGTTCTGGCTTGTGTTGCCTAGAAAGATTCCCAAAGAAAATTTAATAGACACTTGTCCAGGAAGCTTTTGATTGATAAGATATCCTGAGTTGGAACTTGTCAAACACTGATATTTTATCCTTTTAAAGAATCAACATAGTGTAATTGTTGTAATAATTCTAATGAATGTAATGTTAAACAATGGAAAATCTTAGAGAAAATCTGGATTCAAACTCCTGCATAGCTTTGAATCTCTCTTGGGTGAAGCTATTTGGCTGGGAGGATAAAATGGAGGTAGATTCCCTGTATATTTCCCTGAGCTCCAGTTTGGTGTAGTGGTAAGAACATTGGGCTATGATCTGGGAGTCCCCAGTTCAAATCCCTATTCTGCCGTGGAAGCTCTCTAGTGATTTTGGGCCAATCCCCCAATCCCTTGGCCTAACGTACCTCACAGGATTGTTGTTGTGAGGGTAAAATAGAGGAGGGAAAAACAATGTTGTAAGTTGCTTTGGGTTGCCATTAGGGAGAAAACCTGGGTATAAATTTATGTACTTATTTATTTGAAGGAAAAGTGGGATGATTCACCTTTTTATTATTTACATAATAAATTAAGCTTAATTACATAAACGTGATATGCTTTGTAGTGTCTGTTATTAGGGTATTAATACACTTCAGAGAGTTCAGAGTGCTTCTTTACAGCAATGCTGGTCAGTATAATTTATTTCTTTGTGAGACAGTGACATGTTGGGATTTGAGCCCGGGACTGTTGTAGTCCAAACCCACTGCAACAGTTTCATGGAGTTCCAAAATAGTTTTGGAAACATTCATTTAGTTCCTCAGTTCCAAATGTAAAAAAAAAATTCTCAGTGTGCCTGTGTCAGGATTTTGCAATAGGATATTGCTAGTCACAACCTGATTCAAAGAGCAGTATTTTACACAACATTTCCTTGGGCATGTGCTTGCATCATGGGAATGCTTTGGGGTCTGTGGTGAGGGACTCTAAGAGTAATGTGTAGTGTCAAAATAAGCCTGTGTGGCACTGTCAGGAACTTTGAGTTCTTGAATGTGGCCAGTGGAACCTTATCAGGGGTGTCGAACTCACTGGAAATGTATTATTTAAAGTTTTTAAAAAATCTTTAATTGTGTTTTTCGGTGTCCCTTATACAGTTTATATCTCTGCTACCTGTCATTACCTTTTATGAGACACATGACCTAGCCCAACAAGGTCTCACTTATGTCAGATCCGGCCCTCATAACAAAAGAGTTTGACACCCCTGCTAAGAGCAAGGAACCATGTTATCTTTGTGCCAGGTTATCTGCCCCCTTCCTTCCATTACTTGTATGTTTGCTGGCCAGTGCATACATGCTTCAGAGTCCCAGTGAAATATGTGGGATCTTTTCCCCATGTAAATAAAGATAGGATCAGCCTGCATGTTAGAAGGTGTGCATACAAGTATGGGAGGTGCTGTGTGCCATATTGAAGCAGTGATGATGTTGAATTCAAATGTAACTTCTATTTGGGGGGGCAAGAGAAAATGGTACTGTCACTTCGCATCAGTTGGTTGGGAAATTGAAATTGGGCCTTCCATCTGCTTCTATTCAACAGCACTAGACAATATAGTCATCCCTTCATGGCTGCAACAGAACACAAAATTTTAAGGTGTGACACAATGCTTAAAACACAATACTTTAGGACCAGGTCTGAATGCTGTGTTGATAACATCTAAAATTATGAAACTGGCAATTTATGCAGATACTACATTATTTCATATTTTAGCTTGCATTATATTGTTAAATGAACACTCTTTTTGTATGTGAGGGGTTGAGGCTGAAAAGCTTTCTTTTTCTGAATTTTTTTTAAGCTTTAGGAAATTCAGAGATCAGTTTAGTAGTCTGTTTGGGGTACTTTCAGAGTAATTCTGGCACAACATTCTGCATGTCTTTGATTCCAAGTGTTTTGAATTGGGCTGAAGAAATTCTATGTAGTACTGGCAAGAATCCAGGAATGACATTTTGGGGAGGATGATGCAAGGTGTAAAATAGCTATTTCTAGAGAAACTTACCTAGAGATCATGAAGTAGAACTTGGAAATAATGTTCACGTTAATCCTGGTTCTAGAAATGCTCTAAATGGATAGTTGTAGTTCATTGGGTTTGATAATGAAATAGACACACATCCAGTTCTGATATTAAACAGTTCACTGCATTAATGAAATACAGCCCTAGAAAATGATGGCTGCGACAGATAGGAGCAAGATCTTGTGATAAGATTTTGACAACTCAGTCCTACCATTTTTTCTCTCCGTTGTTCATTGGTTCTCTCTGCATATTCTCTTGATTATGCAAAGGTCAAGGAGGGATAAAAATTAAAACAATCTCCTGTGGTGAATGTTTTGTTCTAATCACCTGTGAATGATTCCGTAGTTTTAATTTTTTCTGTTTTAGGATGTGTGCTTTCTTTCTAGTCTTAATTACCCCCCCCCCCAAGGTGAGTGATAATTCATGTCTTCTACTCGTTCCACATCTGAACGTCGCTGCCTTTTTCTTCTCATCCACTCTAGTCTCACACCATTAAAACCAGGGATGACCAGCTAAAATCTTTCCACTTCTCCACTATTCACTTGTGCATGAAATGATTCTTAGGGCCAAGTTGGACCTGATAGTAGCAGCAAGACCAGCCTGTGGCCGCCAATGCCATTTTAGAGGAGAATTTAGCCATTTAAAAATTGCTGCTAGGCAATCTTGTTTCACCCTCTCTGTGCATTTAAATATGCTGAAACAGCCCCCCTAGAGCTGTTTAGGCATTTTAAAAGGCATGTGGGAGGGGAACAAGATATCCAGTTACCACTGAGCTGTGGGCCTATTGGGATCGAGCCCACACAGTAGTTTTTAAGTGGCTAAGTTCTCCTCTAAAATGGTGTCAGTGGTCATGGGTTGGCCCTATGGCCTCTGTGATATCTAGTGTGGTGCTTATAAAGACCAACGGACCCTTATTTATTCTCACAGTACAACATTTACAGGTGGTGTTAGCCAAATATTTGTTTAAAAGAAAGGGTGTGTGTGAGAGAGAGAAAGAGAGAGCTTTCAGTTTAAAAAGATTAATTTTGGATGAGAACAATCATGACTTATTTTTCTCTTTCAGGTCTTCAATGAGATTTATCCGGTATGGACTTACTCTTATTTGGTGCTGCTATTCCCTGTCTTCCTGGCAACAGACTATCTCAGATACAAGCCTGTCATTCTCCTGCAAGGACTCAGCCTTATAGTGACATGGTTTATGCTGCTCTATGCCAAAGGACTGCTGGCTATTCAGTTCCTGGAATTCTTCTACGGAGTGGTGACCGCAACAGAGATTGCCTATTACTCCTACATCTATAGCATTGTGGACCTGGCCTTGTACCAGAAGGTCACCAGCTACTGTCGAAGTGCCGCCCTTGTAGGTTATACAGTGGGCTCTGTCTCGGGACAAGTCCTCGTGTCTGTCGCTGGCTGGTCTCTGTTCAGTTTGAATGTGGTGTCTCTCACCTCCGTATCTGTTGCCTTTGCCATGGCTTGGTTTCTGCCCATGCCGCACAAAAGCCTTTTCTTTCACCATCTGTCAAGCACCCAGGTCAGTAAGGAAACGAAGGTTGTAGAGTGTAAAAACGGAGCAGTCGTCCGGGATGATCCTGCCTTAAAGAGGGTTCCTGGGTGGGAAGATGTTGAATCGAAGGTTCCCCTAAATGTAGAAGAGCATCCTGCAGAGCAGCAGGTAAGGAGTGCTGCTGTTTGGGGGTAAATGGTAGCTACAACACTTGCCATTGAACAGAGAACCCTTGGCCTAATTAATTGACACCGCCTGCTGTGCCTTTCTGCTTATGCCCCAGGCCAACTGGTTGATTTTTAACCTTTCAGGTATCTGATTGCTTCAGTAGTATGCTTGTGTTGGTGGGCTCCTGTTGCCAGCTGGAGCAAATGCCTTTTAGGAGACAAGCAAGCTGATTATTGTGAACCCCTCCAACTTGTTAAGAGAAACAATTGTTATTGGCAAATGAGAGGTGTTGCAAAGGAGATCCGTTGCAGTTGGTAGTGAGGCGAAAAATGATATGCTCCTAAGCAGAGAGAGAGAGCAAAGATACAGAGAGTGTGTGTGGTGTAGAAGGTATGGCTGGGTCACAAATAAAAGGCAGATCCTTTTGCTTGTGGATGTTCCTCAAAGAGTTTGCAAGTTGTCAGGAACCCTGCAATGAGTTATTTCAGCACAGAAGAAACTTTTTGGGGTAAGTAGCATCAGTAATTGAAAGTCTCCTCTTTGGCTAAGAGGTTCCCTTTTGTTTTAAGGTGGGGTTTTTTTTTTGGGTTAGGCTACAGCTGAAAGCTGTTTAATATTCCAAAGAATTAATGTTTGCCCGTCTGCACAGAAGTCCTTTTCCAGTGAACCATTGTGTGTAGACCAAAGCATCTTGTTCTTCAGTCCTTCTGTGGGAATCTGAATTGGCGTTACAGCCGTCTAGGCTGGTGTTGCTTAAGCAGATGTTGCTGCCCTTCCTCCACTTGTCTGTCTGCTTTTCTTGTGTCATCTTGTTTCTCCATTTGCCCTCTGGTGCTTTCACTGATATTTGCAACACCAGATCTGTGGGTGTTGGTTCTTCTGTGTTGACTATTTTGTCAGTGCTGCATCTGTCAGCCTGCTCATTCCCTAACACTGCTGAGGGATATTTTAATTTCTGTTTGTGGGGGAGAAATGCTGTGCTTACTGGTGAAAGGATGCCCTTACCTGCATGCTGTGTTACAGGACACAACTGAACTGAAAGCACAAATATGCCATCAAGTAGATGTCCACTAAGTACAGCTTAGCAAAGTATCTGTGAAAGGTCCACAATATTGATATACAGGGTGGTGGTGTCTGGGGGTGAAGAAGGAATTGTGTATATAGATCTGTAATTTGTTATGGTCCAAAATTCCCCACTTGCACAAGCCCTGGTGTTCTTTTTTCTTTCTGTATGTGTATGCCTACTTAGCTGGTGGTACTGGAGGGAGCTGAAGGAGTCTCTGCTGCTTTTGTGTGGAGTCAGCTTGGTGACTCCAACTTGGTGTGATAGGAGAAACCAAGCCAGTCTCCTTGTCTGCCTTTTCCAGCCTCTTTCCCAGACTATTCATTCCAGCTTAGGGCTCCATGGAATAACAGGGATGATGTGAAGAGAGCATATAGGAGTGGTTTCCTATCCATTTTGCTACTGGTGTCTGCATAATTTCTGCACTCAATAGAAATGTTGTATTTTCTTGTGTCTTAACTAAGAAATCAAAAGCTAGTCTCCCATTCGTGCTTTCTTTCCCAAAGGCTTGCTGCATTGTTTTAAGCATTCAGTCAAAGCACAGGAGATGCGTTTAGGACTGAAGTGGTATTAGAACTTCCTCATAATGGAAAAGACTTCCTCAAAATTGCTAGTGGAAGCCCCATTGCTGCTGCCCTTTATGTGCACCTGCAACACGGAAACTGCAAAATCCTGTCCCTTGTGGAACGCACCTAAGGCTGGACTGCTTAGAAGTATAATATAACAGATGTCCAGTAGCATTTGGTAATGTCTCTGGAATCTTAAGAGGCACTTATGCTGCCTGGAGGTAGTACTGATTAGCGGTGTGTGCTCAGTTTATACCAAGCAGAATAAATTGGTATTTTTTGGGTATTTATTTAGCCAAATACAGATTGGAGAATCTGATTTGGCTACCAAAATAGCTGTGCCCGAGTAAAAGCCAATATTATTTGACTATTTTTTGGGTGCAGCTAGAAGGCATTTAAAGAGACTGGGGTCTCTTTAAATCCCTTTTTCCCCTCTGTTGATTTCAGTGGAGGATGGGGGCACCTTCTTTGGGGACCATAGAATTGGACACCCTGGTCCAATCTTCTTGAAACTTGGGGGGGGGGGTTAGGAGAGGTACCAGCAGCTAGGCTGCAAATTTGGTGCCTTTACCTCAAAGAACAGCCCCCCCAAGAGCACGAAATACCCCCGGATCAATTCTCCTTACCCTATGGGGCTGTCCCCATAGGGTATAATCCCAAATATTATACCCATAGGGTATAATCCCAAATATTTACCCAAATCCCAATACAATACCAATATCGGTGTTCGGGAATATTTGGAATACTGATATTTTTCAGGTCCAGCAGACCCGAATGGGAAAAAATGGATTTTTTTTGCACACCCCTAGTACTGATGCCTTTTGACTGAAGAAGAAGAAGAGAGAAGACTGTAGCCCTGTCTCAGTGAGGCTTGCCTTGGTTGTGATGTCAGAAATCTTCCTTCCTGCCCAATGCAAATTTTGAATGGAGTGTGAAAGACCGGACAGAGAAAGGAGGATGCTTCCTTCCTTTGCAAATTTTAATACTGCTGCCACTAGTAGGAGAGCAAAGGTGAAAGGGCCTTTCTAGTTTCTAGACAATAAATGTAAACTAGACAATAAATGTCTAGTTTCTAGACAATAAATGTAAAAGCTGTGTTTGTCTCTTCTTGAGGAAACTGGCTTTCACTATATTGCACACCTGTGTGATAACTATCAGGGCTGATTTGAAACTGCTTTCTGCCAAAGCTTGCAATGTACTGTTTAAGTGCAATATTTTATACTGTGACCTGATTTTACCTTCTTTTTTTGAAATAAAAATATGACCCAGTACTCTAGCTGTTCAGGCAACAAGGTATGACAGGTCTCAGGGAAGGTAGATGAGACAAGTAGAAGCCCTAAAGAAGTTGTGGGAAGCATCTCATTTCCCCCTTCCCCACTATTTCCTCTTTCCCATTCCTGAAAGCCACCATAGCCTTTCTCTCTGTCCCTTTCCTGAAAGCCCCTGTAACCCTCCCTTTCCCCTGCTTTCTTCTCTCCTTAGGGTTGCCAGCTCCAGGCTGGGAAGTTCCTGGAGATTTAGGGGTGGAGCCTTGGGAGGTGAAATTTGGTGAGGGAAGCAGCCTCAGCAGGGTATAATGCCATAACGTCTACCCTCCAAAGCAGCCAGTTTCTCCAGGGGAACTGATTTCTGTCATTTGGAGATAAGTTGTAATTCTGGGTGATACCCTGCCTTCACCTGAAGATTGGCAACACTAGTTCCCATGGAGGAAATGACTGCTTTGGAGGGTGGAGTTTATGGCATTACACGGTTCTGAGGTCCCTCACCTCCTCAAACCCCATCCTCCCCAGGCTCCACCCTTTCAAATCTCTAGGTATTTCCTAACTTGGAGTTGCAAACCCAATCTCCTTCCCACCCAACAGCCAACCTACCTTTATATGCCCTTCTGTTTTAAGGTTTCCCTCTCACCCCAGCCACAGCTTCTATGTAGGAAAACTGTGGTCCACTTTTTTGTGCTGGCCACTGGGCCAGGCCCATTTGCATGGTACACAACCTCAAATACTTGAGTACCTCACTTTTCCCTCTATCCCCCCTCCCCCAACTATTTCCTCTTTCCTTCCCCTTGGCAACCCCCATATTGTCTCCCCTGCCTCATTCTCTCCTCAGCCATTCACCAACCTACCTTTTATCTGCCTCCCATCTTCAGCAGGGACCAAAGCAGCTTATATTTTTCTCTTCTCCTTTTTATCCTCACAAGAAGACAGGTTGTCTAAAAGTATGTGACTGGGGTTCCGTTTTTTGGTGACTCGCGAACAAACGCACGCCATTGAGCTCCGATGGGTGCAATTCGGATCGAGGCGGCAGGGGGGGGGTCGGGAATTTTCAACCCCCCCCCCCATGAAGCTCTTGAAGGGAGCTTCTAGCCTGAAGCACTGGAGGAGCTGCTCCCGAAGCCGCGGCTGAAGGAATCTTTTTTGCTCCTTAAGGTCCCACTGCCCCGAAGCCAGCAATGGCACCCAGAGACATTACCGGACCACAGCAGCAAGGAATTAAGCAAAGGACTCCTTATAGGATGATATCCAGCGAAAAAACAACAACAGTGAGTGAATGAGTTTCAAAAGAAAGACAAAATTAAAGAGGGTGGAGGACCTGATAGTGAGACGGCAAAGCCCCATAGAGAAATGGGGGGGGGGACTCTCGGAAGCAAGAACCCTACCCTATAGCACAAAAAGCAGTGAAACGGAAAGCCAACAACAAACGGTTAGAAACCCACCCAATTAAAGCGGATCGCAGTGGGGCTCACTATTCAGTACAGAGAAAAATCTGAGAACTTTTAAGAACTTTTACCTTAATGTAAACAATGTCGCAATGGGGGGGGTGTCCAGATGCAGAGGCACCACAGGAAGCACCAGTACAGCATCACCGGTCACAAGACTGGAAACTACCACCGATTTAGCTGGTACGATTTCTGAAGCCTTGTGCCCCCTGCTGGATCAGCTGATGAATCTCAATGAAAAGTTTGATGATTTGCAGAAGGAGTTGAAGGAGACCAAAGATAAATCGAAGAAGACGGTCAAAAAGCTAATACAGGTTGAAACGAAGACTAAAGAGATAGATCAAAGAATGGACATTGCTGAGAGAGAAAGAGCTTCTGAAAACAACAACTATTACAATTGCAAGTCAAAAGATCCTTATATGTTTTAAGATTTCAAGGGGTACCGGAGAAAAAAGATGAAAATTTAAGAGAAATCTTAAGCGACGCATTGGCCCCCTTGATTAAAAGCAACCCTGAAATATTGCAAGCAGACATAGACATGATTTATAGAACTTATTCTGAGTTTGTGAAGAAAAATAATCTTCCAGGGGAAATATTTGTTAAATTTGCAAAAAGATCAACAAGAGACTCAATACTTAAAGCATCTACTGCCACA